CTCTCTCGGCCCCAGCTGGAGCAGCACCGCCACGCTGCGTTGCCTGATAAAGACACCCTCTCCTCTCCGCCCGCAACGACCGGCTTTTAGCTTAACGACAAAATGTGTCCTTCGCGCCCCCCGGCCAAATGCGAGAGAAAGAGGTGAAAAGGGAGGCAGGAGAGGAGTAGAGTTTGCGAGTGTGCGTGTTGCGTGTCCCTATCCCCAAGCCGGAGACGTCGCTCTTCCACGATCAGCCCCTGTCGGCCCCTGTGTTGTCTGCCTTTCGAGATGGAACTCACTTGGGGCTTGAAAAAGGAAAAAAAACAAAGATGAAAGGAAAAAGGAGGATACGACAGAGTAAGGCCCCTTAATTTGCTTTTTTATGTCAGTACGAAAAAGAGTGGCACGGGTACTCGTATGGTCGTTATAGCTGCGATGCTGAGCATCCTGCTGAACAAAACCTAAAAATGTTCAGAGCGAAGTCGTGCGTCATCTTTATCTTTACGACAGGAGTGCGATTGAGAACCTCTACAATTATGCGCCATGCGGTACCCTATGAGGCACCATTAAGTTCCCCTCTTGAGCGCTTTTTGCCAAGTTTTCTTTCTTTTTTTTAAACCGGAACCTCCCGACCCAGACCTTTTCCCTGGGGATCATTAGGCCTTTTGGGGTGTTGAGTGTACCTCTTTGCAGAGTGTACCTCGCGGACGTGAGCACCCTCACCCTCGTGCCCTCGCCCGTGCCCTTCTTTACGCCGGTCTGCCTTTTAACGACCTGCGGAGTGCCAGCCCGAGGACTTGTTGGCTTGTTGACTGCCGCAGTTAGCGCCCCGGCGGCTCCGGCCGGATGAAGAGCGATCGAGTGCTCTGCTAGACAACAAGTTGTTGCTGCTGCCGGGCAGCCTGGGGGGCGCGGCGGGGAGGTCCCGGGGGACCGACTCCGCGACGGCGTCCTCACCTCAGTCAGCGGCGACGGGCGGGACGGCGGCGGCGGCGTGCTGTCCGTAGCGCATGGGGTTGCCGATGACGCCGTCACATCCTGGCGCGCTGGCACACACACAGATACACACACACACACCGGCGCGCGGGTGCGCGCGGCGTGGCGGGCGGGCGCCGCGCGGGTGGCTGAGCGCGCTGAGCGGAGGAGCGGAGGGCTGCGCCTCGCCTCGCCTCACTCAGCCTGGCTCAGCCGCTCTGGCTCTGCCCAGGCCGCTCTCGGCTCGGAGGGAGACTGGACTGGAGGCTCCGCTCGCTCCGCGGCTCCGGGGGGGCACCACCGCGCGCCGCCGCGAGTGCCGCCCCCACCCCCGCCCCCGAGCCGAGTGGGGGCGGCCCGCCCCCTGGCGCGCTCCTGGTTCGCCCCCGGCACGGACGCACCCGATGCGCGGCGGCGGACTTTAGTGATCGTGGAAGGGCTGAGGGGACTGACAGCGGGGGCGGGGGTGCGGGCGGCGTGGCTCCGCGGGGGGCGGCCGGGCCGGGGGCAACCGCCATCGTTGGTTAGATTGTGTATGTACCGGGTGCTCAGGCTAAGGTATGACAATACGTTGGGTTGCATACGCACTGGCTGCAGGGGCTGCATGCGCGGGGCGGTAGCTCCCCCACCGCGCACCGCCACCCGTTCTGTGCCTGCAGCCAGTGCATAGGCAAGGCAACGTCTTAGTCTGAACACCTGATGCGTATTTGTGTAGGCTTGACCAACCGCATGATGGTCGCGTGGATGTGTACATTATGGCCTTCTCCCTCCCGGATGCCGCTAAGCGTGGTTTCGCTGCCACGGCATGGAATCGTGGAATTATGTGGATACCGTTTGGGATACTCAAGCCCAGTGAGAAATGGAATATCAGACCGATATCGAAGCGATATCGAATATCAGATGTGTGTCAGTTTCAGGACCATCTCTGTATTGAAGTTATGCGAAAATTGTCAAATGATATCGTTCTGGTATCAGTCCGGTATTTCATTTCTGACTTGGAGGAGGCCCTGGCGGCCCGCCCCCGCCAGGCTCCTAGACTGGCGGAGGGGGTGTGTGCTGTTTCCTGCTTACCTGTTGGACGCACGCCGCCGCCGCGTGCTCGCGGCGTGCTCGGCCGCCTAAGAAACCGGATATTGGCCAAATCAATCTTATCCATGTGTAGTAAAGTGTAAAGAAAAAGGAAAACAGAACAACTGTTAACATATCAGGGTCAGCGACCAGATGTAAAAATGTTCTCCCCTGAAAAGGAGCGTGTCGTTTAAGCAGCGTCAAAGCGTGCGACAGCAAGAGATTTTCAAAAATTTTGCATAAAAACTACTCTGTGCAAAACAAAACACAATGTCAAACACTTAATTATTATTTTTATTCCAAGACTTTGATGTCTACAACGTTTTCCTTGAAATACGACGATCCTTCTGTCTCAGTCTTATTTTCTTTAGGACGTGTCGTATTTTCTTCAGCAAACATAAATTCTACTCCATCTTCAGCAGCCTGAAATGCTAAACTAATGAGATCCTCTGATTTGTCTGATACACAGCCCATTTTACCAAAACAAAGGTCGCTTCTGGATTTTCTTGAGCCATTGGGAATAATTATTTGTTTGCCTGAGTTCTCCTTAGGCATGAGGTTGTCTTTACAAGATTCACCAATAATCTGGCAGAGAAAAACATAATTGAGACACCTTGAAGGCTAACCTTTATTATACATACATGTATTTCTAAAAAATTAAACAAAGTCATAATTTTGAAAAAGAGCAATTTAAGGTGTTCTAATTATTAATAAGCAAAAAGAATAAATGGATTGGATACAAACCTTGTTTGCCCTTGTCTTTTTCTTGGGTTGAGAAAAGCACTTGTCTTTCACAGCTGAATAAAGAACATAAGATGTCATTACAGGAGTAATTTTAGATAGACGACTCTATTTCTTTCCAAACTAAAAAATGAAGTAAAAAAGTCCCAATTAATTTGTGACCAGGCACTTACTTCCTATTTCATCATGTTTCTTGTGAGACCTGAGATGTATATTTAAGTAGTCAATTCGTGAAAAGGTCTTTTGGCAAATAGTACATGTTGGTCTGTACAAAAGAAAACCATTATCGTGTTGCATAACACTGAATGTGTAAAGAAATACATAATCTAACCTTGCAAAACACATACTTGTTCATTTCACTATGAGATAGTGAATGTCTCTTCAAATCTCTTTGGCGAGCAAATCGTTGTCCACAATCAAGACAAGAGAATAACTTAGATGTTTCATGAATTTGTTTGTGTTCTTTAAACTCTGTCTGGTACCTGAATCCCCAAATTTTCAAACATTAAGTAAATGCTTATTTCATGAGAGTTAAAGAACAGTTAAACATACTTACTCCCCTACAATGAACAATACTTACCTAAATTTCTTACTACACACTGGACATTCATAAGGTCGGTCTCCAGTATGTGAACGTATATGAACAGTCAAATTACATTTATAACGAAAGCATTTACCACAATACAAGCACTCATGAGGTTTTCCACCTACAAATATAATTAAAATTGCAAAAATATTAATTAGGGTTATGAGACTAATTTTACCAAGCAATACTACAAATTTTCTACAGACCAAAGTGAACTTGAAGATGTCTCTTGAAATTTGAGGCAGAGGCCAGTTTTTTGCCACATTCTGGACATGTCAAAGAACTTGTATTCCTAAAAAATATTTTTTAAAAATCCAACTTTAATTACTGACACTCTTTATTCCCTGCTGTCTACATGTAGATTTTGAAATCTGAATATGCTATGAATTATGCTAAACTATTAGTAATTTATATTTTGTTCCACTTTACTTACAGAATCTCAGAATGAGAAGTTTTGTTAGTTTTCTCTTGTTCTTCTGATGAATTTTGAACAGATAATGTTATATATGATTGACATATATCAGTGGTATTTGATTTTTCTAATTTCATGCTAGTTTTCTGTGAAGTATTCACAATAGCTTTGTTTTTACTCTTTTTCCCAACTTTATCAAACTCCTTGGCTGGCAGATTATTTTGCAATATTTTGTGAACCTTAATTGGATCTGGCTCACTAAAGGACACTGACTGAACCGATTCAACATGAGCTAATAAATTCATCGAGTCTTGGTTAGAAACGTCAATAGTGTCATCACTTGAAATTAAATGGTTACTGTTAGAAAAAGGTGAACACAATTTTTGCTTGTTTTTGCCATCTGGAAAAGGAAGATTCCTACTGCTCTCTTTGATGATGACCTAAAAATGAAAGGATGATTAGAATTTCATTTTATGAGATTACATAAATCAGACACAAATACTACATACCTCTGATTGTACATCACCTGATGAGTGATAAGAATTTGTTAGGAAAGATCCTACACTATGATTAAAGTAATGTCCTGTTTCATCTTTAGCCTCCTTGGACACATATTCTTCTTGCATTGTAGAGATTGGACCCAAGAAATCTAGTTGCGATTGATCTAAGCTACCCACACTCAAAATATTGAAAATTCTAGTGGAATCATTTTGACTTAATAGGATAGAGTCTCCTTCAGAATATTGGTTGCCAGAGCAAACAGTAATGTTTGAGGCACCTTCGCCATTAGAGCAAATAAATGTATTGACGAAGTTTGGTACACTGAGAGGTGCAGAGGGAGAGAGATTTGATTCAACATTTAAGCTTGGTAATATTGAGCAAACAAAACCATCACTGCTGATGGATGGAAGGTCTGAGTCAGGAGGAGGTAATGCATTTTCACTTGAAAATACAGAAAGATTCTGGGGCGAGGTAGCGGAGCCTTGTAAAGGTTCC